ATGAATGGTAACAGGATGGAATGTATGGTAACAGGATGGAATGTATGGTATGGTAAGGATGGAATGTATGGTAACAGGATGGAATGTATGGTAACAGGATGGAATGTATGGTAACAGGAAATGGTGGAATGGAATGGAACAGTGGAATGTATGGTAACAGGATGGAATGTATGGTAACAGGATGGAATGGAATGTGTATGGAACAGGATGGAATGGAAACAGGAAGGAATGTATGGTAACAGGGGAATGTATGGAAACAGTGGAATGGAATGGAATGGAATGGAACAGGGTGGAATGTATGGTAACAGAATGTATGGAACAGGGTGGAATGTATGGTAACAGGGTGGAATGTATGGTAATGTGGAATGGAAAATGTGGAATGGAAGGAACAGTGGAATGTATGGTAACAGATGGAATGGAAACAATGGAATGGAATGTAATGGAACAGGAATGGAATGTAAGATGGAATGGAATGGAATGGAATGGAATGTATGGAATGGATGGAATGTATGGTAACAGGATGGAATGTATGGTAACATGGTGGAATGTATGGTAACAGGGTGGAATGTATGGTAACAGGAATGGAATGTATGGAACAGGATGGAATGTATGGTAACAGGAACAGAATGTATGGAATGGAATGGGTAACAGGGTGGAATGTAAACAGGATGGAATGTAATGGTAACAGAATGGAATGGAATGTATGGTAACAGGATGGAATGTATGGTAACAGGATGGAATGTAATGGTAACAGGAATGGAATGTAAATGGAAACAATGGATGGAATGGATGGAATGGAGGAATGGAATGGAATGGTAACAGGAATGGAATGTATGGTAACAGGATGGAATGGAATGGAATGGAATGGAATGTATGGAACAGGATGGAATGTATGGTAACAGGGTGGAATGGAATGGAATAACAGGGTGGAATGTATGGTAACAGGAATGGAATGGAATGGATGGTAACAGGATGGAATGTATGGTAACAGGATGGAATGTATGGTAAGGAATGTAGGATGGAATGTATGGTAACAGGATGGAATGTATGGAACAGGGTGGAATGTATGGTAATGGGTGGAATGTATGGTAACAATGGAATGGAATGGGATGGAATGGATGGTATGGAATGGAACAGGATGGAATGGAGGTGGAATGTATGGTAACAGGATGGAATGTATGGTAACAGGATGGAATGTATGGTAACAGGGTGGAATGTATGGTAACAGGGTGGAATGTATGGTAACAGATGGAATGTATGGTAACAGGATGGAATGTATGGTAACAGGATGGAATGTGTGGTAACAGGATGGATCGAAAAAGTAACAGTATAGAATAATCTTATAATTTGATTTTTGACCGCCAAAAACCACCAGTGAAATTGATATAAAAATGACAAACTTAAGCCAGAAAAGCAATAAAAATAAATCTTTACTTTTTCAGACACTTTACAGCGTGAATTCAATCAAGAACTTACACAGTAGTAACAGGAAGGAGAATGTAGTGACAGGATGGAAACTGCAACTTGAACGAAACGAACAACTGATAATATTGTATTGAACTCTTTTAGTTCCAGCCTACTTTCAGAACTGTAATGTTTCCTTATTCAATCAACAAATGGGCTTGACGATTCAATTCAAACTATTTACTAACCACATAAAGAAACTGTGCATTGTCAAAATATTATCCCAGTTGATAAGTACGATAACAATGTCAAAGGTACATGAGACCATAACAAGTCGGGAGAATTTCAATTGAAAAGTCAATCACAATGACGTCACGAGTCCACAAGCGGGACAGGGGTCAAACGACCATGTAACAAGCTCAATAACGGGTATGACCACCATCGGCATTGAGAACAGCAGTGCATCGACGACGCATAGAGCCTATCAAACGTGCAAGGAAGGCTTGTGGGAAGTCACGCCAGATTCTCTCAAGTTCTGTTGCAAGGTCAAGGACGTTATCTGGCGGATGAGGAAGACGGCGTAGACGTCGATCCATCTCGTCCCAAACATGCTCTATCGGGGAGAGATCCGGTGAATTTGCAGGCCAAGGCAGTAAGTCAACGTTGTGGTGTTGCAAGAAATCCATAGCAACACCTGCCGTATGAGGGCGGGTATGTCCTGTTGGAATGTTAACCCAGGGCCATGACGTTGCAGAAAAGGAATTGCCACAGGTCGAAGAATCTGATCCCTGTAGCCCACACCAGTTAAGTTGCCCTGAACAATCACCAATGGAGTTCTTTGGCGTGCTGTTATTCCACCCCATATCATCACGGAACCACCACCAAAGCGATTTCTCCTCCATAGCGGTCACGTTCGATGACGTTATTGGCGTCATAACGTTCACCCACTCCACGCCATACTATGCGTCGTCCATCTGCAAATTCCACACAGAAACGTGATTCATCAATGTCTGGTTCCATTGTTGACGACGCCAGCGCCGATGAGCACGTGCCTATTGCAAACGTTCCTGTCTGTGACGTTGACTTAATGGAACTCCAACCACTTGACGTCGGGCAAACAGTCGGGCTGTGTGCAAACGGTTCGTTACCGTTTGGGGATGAACAGTCGTGAGGGTGGCCTGTTGCAACTGTCTAGCCAACTTTGGAGCACTTGTAAACCTGTGACGTCGTGATGACGTCACCAAAAATCGGTCTTCCCGGGGTGTGGTCTTACGGGGTCTGCCGGAGCATGGCCGATCTCTAACAACCGGTCTGCTGTACACGTGTCTGGAGACGTGAAACTGTGCTCCTGTGCACGTTGAAATGACGCGCTACGTCTGTAATTGTTTGACCAGCATTCAGTCTCCCAATCGCTTCATGTCTCTGATTTTCATGGTTGATTTTCAAACTTTAAAAATGTTTTACCCTCTCAGGAGAATGTCTCAGTGGGTATGCAATAATGCATCGGCCACAGGATGATTTTCATTGTTTTTGAGACATGAAATTGTGTTTCACGTGAATTCCACGAAAATCACAGACAAATGCACGTGACTTTCAATTCTCTCGTCACACAGCAATTCCACAGGTGTCACAAGTTTACAGGTATCAGGTTCAGACTAATGAGAACATTGATTATATCTGTAAGGACAATTTAGTGCAGCGTGCTAAACTTTTTGGGTTGAGTATATATGAAATATAGACATTTGTATACCAGAAATCTCATATAAGGGAAACTTCAGTTTCAAACTTATATATGTTAGATCAAGGTATACTGAATATGTGTGACTGTGCTTTCTTAAGCATTAAATGCTGAAACTTTATTAGATATGAACAGCTTTTCAAGTGTGTGTGAATGTAACACAAGTTCACCTGTAAAACAAATAAAATATATCTGTATAAGATATCTGTATTGTCTTTCATTGTAGACTGCTCATGGTTTGTTCAAAATATTATTGAATATTTTAGACTTGTCTGTGTTCTATTTTGCTGGTTCAAAGGGGACTTTTACACCTTTTATCACGGCAAATTATTAACCGTAACAATATGTTACATTTGACCACTTTCTAAAATGGCATTGTATATTTAATAAGAAAATAGTAAGTAACAGAAACATAAGATTGTCCATATTACAAGGAAGAATCAAGCAGTCCGCTTATCAAAACAACTCAAACAAAAAACTGAAGACACAAAAAAAACAAGACACAAAAAGAATAATCAAGCTCTCCCTTTTTTTCTTGTGGGGAGGTAGGGTCAAGTATTATCTATCGCTTTCTCATTCTGCCTACACAGTTGTGACCAGCAGACCATGGCGTGTGTTGTTTTAAGCTGAAGACCCGGGTTCGATTCCCCACTTGGGTACAATATGTGAAGCCTTATTCTGGTGTCCCCCGCTGTAATATTGCTAAAAGCGTCGTAAAACTAAACTCACTCACTCACTCACTAGAGCGATTGACGAGTGTAAATGGCAGCCATGTCGGAAAATGATCGTCACTATCTAACCCTGCACCCTGTCTAAACCGGCATTATATTTTGGTCGCGTTGGGTACCGGTTTAGACAGGGTTCACTATACTTTCTCATAATAAGATCATGTGAAAAATTGTTTGGTGACTTCTAACCGAATGGGATATGGGAGGCAGGATATGTAGGGTAAGGTGACTTCTGAATACATATACACCCGTGGAGATCCCAGTAAGATTTGATCTTCAGCTACCCATGCTTGTCATAAGAGGCGACTAACGGGATCGGGTGGTCAGGCTCTCTGACTTGGTTGACACATGTCACCGGTTCTCAATTGCGCAGATCGATGCTCATGCTTCTGATCACTGGATTGTCTGGTCTAGACTCGATTATTTACATACCGCCGCCATATAGCTGGAATATTGCTGAGTGCGGCGTTAAGATAAAATCACTCACTCTGCTTACGTTTACATTAAGCTAGGTTACTAAAACAACACGATGCAGTCTGATGCTTAATAATGGATGCATGAATAAATGTTCGTTTTATCTATGACAGGAAGAAGTTGCCGGCGTTTTATTAAAACACTTGTTAATCACAAAACACAGTAAACACAGTTAACGAATGTGATCCACACACGGACATCCTTCCTTATTTGAATGTCATTTCATTTAATTTGAAAAATGAAACAAATGAAACTTCTAGCAACAGATGTCGTCGATTATCAAAGAAAGACTGTACAGATGAAAAAAAAAGATGAAATGAAAGAAAGAATTGTCACTAACATCAATGGAACTGAAGTAAAGCTAATAATGAACAATCTAACAGCAACAACAGAAAATTTAGTTAAAGGTGCTAATTAATATCAAACATATATACTAAATGACTATTACAAATGATCACAAATCATAATAAACATGTAATCAAAACAGAATCATTGATATTCAACTGCATGATAAATAAGACACTAATTTAAACACCCCACCCACACATAATGGTTCGCATTACTCTCACAATCTGTTACAAGAAACCCATTCCACTGTAAGCGGCGTTGTATTATAAAAGTTGTTAGGTGACTATAATGCGTAAAGGGACGTAACTCTAATTTACAGTGCCCGAACGTTTTCAACATGTTGTTGATATCTGACTGATAAATTTCGTCGGGACCCAGTTCATCAAACATGGAACCGGGATCATATGCTCGAAAAGTAGGACAAATGTAAATTTTATAACTTAAAATTATTTCATACGAATACGGATTTGTTGCAACGTGAAAATAGAACCTTACAACTGTATCACGGGTTGGTATCTAGTTTTCTAAATTACTAGATACCATGAAACTGCCGTATTTAAAAGTCTTTTGCAAGATAATCCCCATTTATTTATTTCTGTTATGATATGTTTAATTGCATTCATGGGTAGATCACAGCACAATCACGAAATGTATCGTTGAAATCTGCAATCATATTTTCTGATATTCACAGAGAAGTTTATTCTGTAAGTTCAGTTTTTCTCAAGAACCATGTCCAGTGGCAGATTGGAAATCTTTGCATGGTCGACGGAATAACGCACAATGAAGGATTATGTATGGTTTACTTTATGTCCAGTGGCAGAAGGGAAACCTTTAGATGACCAATTGATTAACGTACGATGAAAGATTATGTGAAACTGTGCTTTACTTTATTTGCAGCGTTATGCCAGGGAGGAGAGGGAATCAGAGTCATCAGATGATGACAACTATGTCCCATATGTTCCAATCAAACAGAGAAAGAAACTACAGGTAGGTAAATGGCAAGCTAGTCTATATCCTTGTGTTATGGCATTTTGATTACTTACGAACAGATTTGGCAATTTACCATGTCTAAGTGATGGTTATACTTTCATGTTTTGCTTTCATGAAACAAAGTCCCAGCAAGTGGAGAAGAGACTTGGTCGTGCTGGGATACTGAGAGCTGAGGAAGAAGAGGTGAAGTCCTCCACCAATGATGAAGAGGAAGAGGATCAGGAAGGGGATTCATTGGGACCCAAGTCTCACCTCAGTCTGCTGGATCAACACAGCGAACTCAAGAAGAAGGCTGAAGGTAAGGGACTTTGTTGAGGATGATGGTAAGAAGTGAATGGGATGGGAAACTGTAGAGGGAGTGGGGAAGGGTTTGAAATGGGAGGTGTAGAGTTGAGGTGACAAGACAAGGAGATGTATGTACATGTGTGAGGAAGACTCAGTTGGTGGGTACGGGGATGTTAGTGAGGGACAAGGAGACTTGTGAAGGGGTAGTTGGTGACGGAGGGTCAGAAATTAAGTGAGGAGATGAAGGCATGAGGGGAGAGGGATGTGGGGTTGGATGCATTAGGGGGAAAGGAGTGTGGAGTAGAGGGTAGGTTGGGGTAGATGGATGGTGAGGTGAAATTGGGTTTAACGTCGTACTTGAGAATATTTCGCTCATATGACGACGTGCATGCGTGTGTATGTGTATGTGCGGCTGCTTGTACTAGCCCAGACTGAAGCTGGTTTTATAGTGCTAGCCCACTGAGATACCATGCCGCAGTGAAGCATGAATACCCCACTCAGACACATTATACTGACTCCCGAGCCGACCAGTCCTTGTTGTACCCATTAATGCCGAGCGCCAGGCAGGGACCAACAAGTACCATATTTTAACGTCTTTTGGTATGACGCGATCGGGGATCGAACCCGCGACTTTCCGCTCTCCGGGCAGACGCTCCAACCACTACACCACGGAGGTAGATGGACGGGGGGAGTAGGGTGGGGGTAGATGGATGGGGGATTGTAGGGTTGGTAGATGGATTGGGGAGAGTAGGGTGGGGTAGGTGGATGGGGGAGAGTAGGGTGGGGTAGATCGATGGGAAGAGTAGGGTGGGGTAGGTGGATGGGGGAGAGTAGGGTGGCGACTAATAGTTTGAAGGTGTGGGTGAGAATGGGGTATGGTCAGGTAGGGGTGGAGAAGTGCTGTAGTCGGAGGGTGATATTGGAGGCAGGATATGTAGGGTAGACGATGAATATCGAGGTGGAGGACAGTGGTGTGTAGTGTCGTAGGTGAAGGGAAAGGGTTCATGTTTGTCGTAGATTAGTGTGACCAAGTTAGAGTGAGTTTAGTTTCATGCCCCACTCAGCAATATTCCAGCTATAAGGCAGCTGTCTGTAAATAATCAAGTCTGAACCAGACAATCCAGTGATCAACAGCAAGAGCATTGATCTACGCAATTGGGAACTGATGACGCGTGTCAACCAAGTCAGCGAGCCTGACCACCCAATCCCATTAGTCGCCTCTTACGACAAGCATGGCTTACTGAAGAGCAATTCTAATCTGGACCTAATGATGGGATTGTAATTAGACTGCTGATTGTTATTGTTACTTGTTTCAGCTCGGAAGGAGACGGCCCGTGAGAAGTTGCTGAAGGAAGAACAGAAGATCCTGGAGAGTGTTGCTGAGAAGAAAGGTCAGTGGTCACAACCTTCTGTACAAGAGACACCTGCTCATGAGATGAAATCATAAGAATTTATTACTATCCACCAGTTTATTAATTTTGTTGCTGTATGTCAGTGTAACTCATGAGAATTGGCATGTCAATTCTAATTTTATTATCAGTTTAATGCAATAAAAGAATAGTCTAAGCACTAAAAAAATCTGGCACAGATACGTGAAATATGTGTGCTTTATTTTCAGCTTTGATGGGTGTGGCTGAGTTGGCAAAAGGTATTTCATATCAGGATCCGATAAAAACAGGGTAGGTGCCACAAGTTGGGGAAGGTGTTCAATGTGAATGTGAACATTCTCATATAATGTTTTCACACATTGATTACAATAGTTGTCTGTACACATATTGATTAGAATCATTTACTTCTTGAAAAAAAGACAATGCTGTAAAATGTTTTACAGTGCAGACTACAATCAAGGTCCATTCAGGGAAAGACAAATTTGCTCTATGTTGTGTTTTATTAGATATATATCTTCATGCATCATTTTAAGTTTGTACTTTCACTTTTGGGTAAAGAAGGTTAGAGTTATCTACCCTTGGTTACAGTTTTAAATTTTTGTATTGGAGTGAGTGAGTGAGTTGGGTTTTATGCTGCCTGCAGCAATATTCCAGCAATATCATGGCAGAAGACACCAGAACTTTACACGTTGTACCCTGGTGGGGAATTGAACCTGGGTCTTCAGTGTGACAAACAATTGCTTTGACCACTAGGCTACCTCATCACCCCTTCAAATTCTTGTTTGTCACCACACTCAGCAGTTTTACAGCTGTACGTCATTCACATGGCTACGCAGTTTAAACTTTCACTCCTCGTCATTATCAGATGGCGCCCTCCACGCCGTGTCCTGGCGATGCCGTTCCAGCGCCACGAGAAGCTGCGCAGGAAAATGCACATACTGACAGAGGGCGAGGACTTGCCACCCCCCATCAAGACATTCCAGGAGATGAAGTTTCCCAAAGCTATCATCAATGGACTGAAGAAGAAGAGCATCCTCAAACCCACGCCCATACAGATGCAAGGGATTCCTGCTGTGTGAGTGGAGAGTAACTGCAGAATAAACTAGGGGCTAGGAAACATTATGGATTATCTGGTCTGGATGAATATTTATGTCCCGGTTTGAAAAGTGCATGGGGACATTACTCAGCATGTCCATCTGCCTGTCCATCTGTGTGTGTCTCTGTCTGGCCATCCCTTTGTCTGTTCGTCCATCTGTCTGTCTGGCCATCTGTCAGTCTGGCTGTCTGTCTGGCCATCTGTGTCTGTCTGTCTGGCCATCTGTCAATCTGGCTGTCTGTCCGTCCATCTGTCTATTGTTTCCAGAGTACAACTCCATTACTGCTGTATGAAAGTTGCTCAACAGATCAGTCTAGAGGTGAGCTGATGTTGATGATTTGAAATATTGAAATATACTGAACAGCATTATCTTGTTCTTTGCTGAAGTGGATGTTTCCAATGGCAATAACCAAACTTGAGATGCAGAACTGGAGGGATATGTCATCTTCTGATGACTATTGTTCAAGACACTGGCGTTTATTATTGGCGTAGCTATCTGGATTGGTTTTGGGGATGTATCTTGTTTTGCTGACTCTACCACACACCTCATTTTGTGTAACAGTTTTTCAGGCCCCTTCCCCTCCATCCCCCAAATTATGGATTATGATTCATGAACCTATTGCAGTATCAAGCCCAGTTCACTGGTTCATGTGGCTCTGTGTTGTTTTTTCAGGCTGTGTGGGCGTGACATGATCGGGATTACGTTCACTGGGTCGGGGAAGACCTTGGTGTTCATCCTACCTATCATCATGTTCTCTATGGAACAGGAGAAGAGGATGCCGTTTGACAAGGGGGAGGGGCCGTATGGCCTCATCATCTGTCCATCGGTGAGTTAGGGTGAGATTGGTGTGTGATAAGGGTGAGGCACTGTATTGCCTCATTATCTGTCCATTTTGAGTTAGGGTGAGATCAATGCCATTTCACAAAGGGGAGGGCCAGTAAGGTGTCATCATCTGTCCATTGGTGAGTTAGGGTGAGATGAATGCCGTTTCACAAAGGGGAGGGCCAGTAAGGTGTCATCATCTGTCCATCGGTGAGTTAGGGTGAGATGAATGCCGTTTCACAAAGGGGAGGGCCAGTAAGGTGTCATCATCTGTCCATCGGTGAGTTAGGGTGAGATGAATGCTGTTTTACAAAGGGGAGGGCCAGTAAGGTGTCATCATCTGTCCATCGGTGAGTTAGGGTGAGATGAATGCCGTTTCACAAAGGGAAGGGCCAGTAAGGTGTCATCATCTGTCCATCGGTGAGTTAGTGTGAGATGAATGCCGTTTCACAAAGGAGAGGGCCAGTAAGGTGTCATCATCTGTCCATCGGTGAGTTAGGGTGAGATGAATGCCGTTTCACAAAGGGGAGGGCCAGTAAGGTGTCATCATCTGTCCATCGGTGAGTTAGGGTGGGATGAATGTCATTTGACATTGGGGAGGGGTCTGTATGACCACATCATCTCTCCATCGGTGAGTTATGGTGAGATTGATGCCATTTGATGAGATGGAGGAGCCATGTAGCCTCATCATCTGTCCATCGGTGAGTTAGGGTGAGATGGATGCTGTTTTAGTAAGGGGGTGGGGTGATACAGCCTTATTTGTCCATTGGTGAAAGGGATGAATGGTGTGTGGTAAGGGTGAGCTACTGTATGGCCTCATCATCTGCCTGTAGGTGAGTTGGGGTGACATGGGTGCCATTTGGGAAGGGGCAGAGACTGTAGAGCCTTGTGACATATCCATAATGTACCACACTGACCTCAATATCTGCCTGCCTACTTCATTTTGCAGAAATACAAGCAGACAAGTGATGGCAGACCTGACAACTACAACACGTTAAATAAAACATCTGCAGTCTAAGGGGAAATAATTCATGATTTTAGCACATAATTTTCTCCCTTTAGCCATTTTGATCTCTTTACTCAGATGTCACACAAAGGTGATTCTGTCCCATTTGAATACGATATCAGACAAAACCTTTTTCCCACCTGATGAATAGATTTGGGTTCATTTAATATGTACTACTGATATTTCTAGAGAGAGTTGGCAAAACAAACCCATGACATCATCATGTACTACTGCAAGTGTCTGGAGGCTGACGGGTTCCCGGCGCTGAGGGCCGCCCTGTGTATCGGCGGCATGTCCGTGAAGGATCAACTGGAGGTCATCAGAAGGTGAGCACGATAAACACGATAGCCTTGTCAGTAGTTTGGATGTCAATACTTGAATATTGTTGGCATTAAACAGAAATACAAACAAACAAACAAACGGAAAAGAGATGGCAGGTGGTGTTGAGTTGACTGCTTTGGTTGTTTTTACTATTATTAAACATACAGTGCACCCTGGTTATAATGCTACCCTGGATATAAAGCCATGATTTTGCCAGAACACATTTCCTGCCTGTATAATACCCTGGTTATAATGCCAAACTGGATATAATGTTATAAAACTGTGTGAACGTGAAGCAGCATAATGTGATTTAGTAGCCACGGCTCATATAAACCTGGATATCTCCCGTGTACACCAAGACAACCACTGCCAATCTCTACAAACCTGCCTTGAAACCCTGTGTTCCTTGTGTCATCATCCACTTTTGAAATTTCTGGAAAAATCTATAATGTTGGTTAGGTATTTGTCCTTTCAGCTATTTAAGATCAACTCTCAGTAAGAATCAAATCAGGAGACTGAGCCAACAGTGTCCACTTCTGACTTCGCTGACAAGGGCGTTGTCACCTGCAAAATAGCTATGAAGTACTTAACTGTGTGTGACGCTGATTATACTGAGTTTAGTCCACCCACGTATCTCCTCTTCTTCTCCAGGGGCGGTGGGTTAGCCTAGTGGTTAAGCGTTCGCTTGTCACGCTGAAGACCAACATGGGCACAATGTGTGAAGCCCATTTCTGGTGTCCCCTGCCGTGATATTGCTCGAATATTTCTATAAGCGGCATAAAACTAAACTCATTCACTCACTCACTCCCCTTCTCCTTTCCAGGGGTGTGCACATCATGGTGGCCACACCTGGTCGACTGATGGACATGCTGGACAAGAAGCTGATAAATCTGGACGTGTGTCGATATCTCAGCATGGACGAGGCGGACAGGATGATTGACATGGGCTTTGAGGAGGATGTCAGAACAATCTTCTCCTACTTTAAGGTAAGTTCATGAGAAATGAGAACTAAACCTGCAAGGAACCTTGTGGTTAAAGCGTTCGCTCATTATGCTGAAGACTTGGGTTTGATTCCCCACATGGGTACAGTGGGTGAAGCCATTTCTGCTATGATATCCCTGGAATATTGCTAAAAGTGATTTAAAACCATTCTCACTCACTTACTCCAGAATTACTGACCACAGTGATATTAGGGAAAAAATGTCACTTCACTCCATCAATTTCTTCAAGTGTATGCACACTACAGTTTACAGGTCAGAATTGGTGTTAAGTACCTCATGATTTTCTTAAGAGCTGACAGATGTGGAGATCAGATAGTTAAGCTGTGTGTGACCCATGAAGATGCAGGTTAGAATTACACGAATACTGGGTCCAGAGGTTCATGGAAATAAGTGATGTATTGAGTGTTGATCCGGGTTAAAATGTTGGTCTCAGCAACCCATGCTTGTCGTAAGAGGCGGCTTACAGGATTGGGTGGTCAGGCTCGCTGACTTGGTTGACACATGTCATTGTATCCCAATTACGCAGATCGATGCTCATGCTGTTGATCACTGGATTGTCTGGTCCAGACTTGATTATTTACAGACTGCAGCCATATAGATGGAATATTGCTGACTGCGGTGTTAAACAAGAAACCAACCAGGGCCCCGTTCCTGAAAGCGATCGTAGCACTAAGGTGATCGTAACTCCCATACTTTAACATAGACTTACAACTGTCGTAGCGCTACGATCGCTTTGAGGAACGGGACCCAGTCATGCTGTGTGGTTTGGCTGTTTTTGTGATTGTTCCTCTGGCATTGATCATTTACCCACCTGGAAGCCACCCACCAAACCAACCATCTAACAACTTGCACCCTCCTTTCCTTCTTACGTTTTATCAGGTGGTCAAAATGGCTCCTGACTATGTCTTTGGTTTGTTTAGGGTCAGAGGCAAACCCTGCTATTCTCAGCTACTATGCCCAAGAAGATCCAGAACTTCGCCCGCAGTGCCCTGGTGAAGCCTGTGACGGTCAATGTCGGCCGAGCCGGTGCTGCGAGCATGGACGTCATACAGGAAGCTGAGTACGTCAAACAGGAAGCCAAGATGGTGTACTTGTTGGAATGTCTTCAGAAGACTTCACCGCCGGTAAGAAACCAATGCCAGAGCCATTTTTCACTAAGTGGTGTTAGCGTTTCTTCATCTCCTAAACCGGGATCGGGTGGTCAGACCCGCTGACTGGGTTGACACATGTCATCGTGTCCAAATTGTGCAGATCGATGCTCATACTGTTGATCACTGGATTGTCTGGTCAAGACTCAATTATTTATAGACCACCACTATATAGCTGGAATATTGCTGAGTGCGGCGTAAAACTAAACTCACTCACTCACTCATCTACTAACCCTCTCAGCCATATCACTAATAATTTTCATTTTTTTTCTCTTTATTTCATTGTGAATAACACGATGTTTTGGAGCGTATGCTTGCTCCTTTATCAGGTGAAGGATAGACTCCGAAACAACATATTATTCACTATAAAGAAGTTGACATCCATAAATCTTGCTTTCGTTATGCATTCCACTTCTACTTTTCTTATACAGTGACCCTTATCAGTAATTCTTGAAAGCATTTTTACTTCTGGACTTCAAAGAAATTGATATTTGTACAAGTGTTTTGATAAGGTGACCACTTCCTTCCCCATTGCAGAACTGTCATCGGAGATTTCTCTCCTTTATATGCCTCATAGTTCATTACTGTACTGAGGAACTTAATTGTGATTTATCTGTCATTTTGAATTAATCTATTGCCTCACTGAAGCGATGTTATTGAAAATAATGGGTTAAACATAATAGGATATCATGTGTAAGATAGTGTGTCATTGATGTTAACAGTGAATGAGAGTAACAACACAGTTCCATTTCCAGGTGCTGATATTCGCAGAGAAGAAACAGGATGTTGATGCCATACATGAGTACTTACTGCTCAAGGGTGTGGAGGCTGTTGCTATACACGGAGGGAAGGGTGAGTGTCAAGGACCAGAATAGGTCCCAGTACCACATGTCAAGGAGCAGAATAGGCCCCAGTACCCCATGTCAAGTAGCAGAATAGGTCCCAGTACCCCATGTCATGGAGCAGAATAGGTCCCAGTACCCCATGTCATGGAGCAGAATAGGTCCCAGTACCCATGTCATGGAGCAGAATAGATCCCAGTACCCCATGTCAAGTAGCAGAATAGGTCCGAGTACCCATGTCATGGAGCAGAATAGGTCCCAGTACCCTATGTCAAGGAGCAGATAGGTCCCAGTACCCATGTCAAGTAGCAGAATAGGCCCCAGTACCCATGTCAAGTAGCAGAATTGGTCCCAGTACCCATGTCAAGTAGCAGAATAGGCCCCAGTACCCATGTCATGGAGCAGAATAGGTCCCAGTACCCATGTCAAGTAGCAGAATAGGTCCCAGTACCCCATGTCAAGTAGCAGAATAGGCCCCAGTACCCATGTCAAGTAGCAGAATAGGTCCCAGTACCCCATGTCAAGTAGCAGAATAGGTCCCAGTACCCCATGTCATGGAGCAGAATAGGTCCCAGAACCACATGTTATGGAGCAGAATAGGTTCCAGTACCACATGTCATGGAGCAGAATAGGTTCCAGTACCCATGTCATGGAGCAGAGTAGGGCTCAGTACCACATGTCATGGAGCAGAATAGGTCCCAGTACCACATGTCATGGAGCAGAGTAGGTCCCAGTACCACATGTCATGGAGCAGAATAGGTTCCAGTACCCATGTCATGGAGCAGAATAGGTCCCAGTACCCATGTCATAGAGCAGAATAGGTCCCAGTACCCTATGTCATGGAGCAGAATAGGGCCCAGTACCCCATGTCATGGAGCAGAATAGGTCCCAGTACCACATGTCATGGAGCAGAATAGGGTCCCAGTACCACATGTCATGGAGCAGAATAGGGCCCAGTACCCTATGTCATGGAGCAGAATAGGGCCCAGTACCCCATATCACAGGGCACTAGGTCAGTGATATATAGTGCTTGTTTCCAGTGGGCAGAAGGGTGAGCTACTGTCCTCTCTAAAAAGACTACCTTTCCCTTGTTGATAACCTCCACCACTTCTGTCATAATATCTTCCCTTTGTGTTTCCACATAATGGTCTTATAGCAAAAAGCAAAATAGCAGCAATAAGGGGTACACTTCATTTTTTTTGAACAAGTAGAAATATGACTTTCAATTTAATGTTAGATAGACAGGCATTTAACGAATAAATATGCTCACCAGGGGGTTGTCTGCAGTGAGGGTATATGGAGTTGTGCTGTAAGGACTCATTCTCTTTCTTTTTTTTAGACCAGGAAGAGAGAAGTCGTTCAGTGGAACAGTTCCGGAAGGGGGAGAAAGACGTGCTGGTGGCTACAGACGTGGCATCAAAGGGTCTTGACTTCCCTGACATTCAACATGTTATTAACTACGACATGCCGGAGGACATAGAGAACTATGGTAAGATTAGGTCCCAGTACCGTGGCGGCGTGTGGTCCTGTGCGTAGAGCTCAGGTCACAACCAGTTGAAGTTAAACAACGGTGGTTCGCGGACAGTCCTCGGATGGGTGACCATGTTTGGCAGCTTGACTCCTGAGAGTTTCTAGGACTTCAGTCCTGCCCCACAACGAAGCATATGTGATACATGTGGTCTCACCTTAGGCAAGTGAGTTTGTTCAAACTTGCCTCTGTCCACCCACCAGTAAAACTGGGTACCTGATATGATACGAATTTGAACCTTGAGTCTGAATTTGAGCCTTGAACGCCTGACAGGCGACTGGTTGTATTCTCCGCAGAGTGTTCTGTACTCATTGACCAGGGGTAATAATCAACTGGGATGCAATGAAATGTGCCAAACAAGTCAGCGAGCCTGACCACCCGATGCTGTTAGTCGCCCCTTACGACAAGCATGGGTTACTGAAGATCAATTCTACCCCGGATCTTCATGGGTAGTCAGTGAGATATTTCTTTGGGTCTGGTTATCAGTCAGGTGATTCTGCTCAACTACTTAAACAAACTGGCCCTTTAGAGAACAGTAAAAAACCTTTTGAAGTCATACTTTATATTTGAAGTAATAAGGTATTTTATAGCAAGAGATCCATGAGCTGGTTGTTTTCACAGTAACTGTGATGAAATTTGGCAGACTTTTTGTTTGCTTGTTAGATTGGATCAACTGTCTGTTGTGGTTTGAGGTAGTCTCCCCTTGATAACACTTGAAGATTCTTGGGGAGGGTAATTGTGTTCTACTGTGAGCCAAATTACAGCCATGCAACAATCTTGTAAAAAGCGGAATTTATGTTCATTTGTGAAATGTTCAAAGTTCTTTTTGGAAACAGATAATCAGATAATGTCTGAATGATTCGCGCATTTGTACTGAGAACTGTAAAGCCTTGATGCTGACTGGCTCATCGGAAAGATCACATGATGCATCAGTTGATTTTTTGCAACAAATTAAAACTTTTCTTTGTGTTTTAGTTCACAGAATTGGACGTACAGGCCGTTGCGGCAAGACGGGCATTGCAACAACTTTCATTAATAAGACAGTTGGTAAGGCCATAATTGAGAGTGCCGACATTGCAGTTTCAATACTCAGATTGAATAGACCAATTCTCTGTTATTTATACTAAATCCTGGCTTTACTTATTTCTTAAAGAAACATTGAGGCCAAAATGAGTTATCAAAACTGAAGGATGAACAACATAGTAATCAAGTATTGTCGCATGTCATGCCAGCTGAACAGAAACAATTCTGGACCAGGAAACCAGTGGTTAACAGTGCAAGTAACAATTAATGCTGTCTGGTGCCATGATCCCATCAAGGACTGTCCATGCTTGGTAGTCATTGTGACCACAAACTCCACTGTAAGTTGCCATGACAACAAATCTTTTCTTGCTGGCTTGGATATTTAGATAAGAGCAACATATATTTCCAGGATGACACAGTATCATCTTGTTTGAGAATTATTTAAAACTTACCATATTTTGTAATTCTAACAGTTAAGGTTTTGTGGTTGCAGATGAGTCTGTGTTGCTGGACTTGAAGCATCTCCTGATTGAAGCCAAACAGAAGGTGCCGGCATTCCTGGCTACTCTGTCCTCAGAGAGTGAGAAGTACTTGGACATTGGTGGTCAGTATCCAAACAGGAACACATGGCGTTGACATCCACTATACTGTTACGCTGGATGGGATGTTGGGATATTTAATCCCTCTGCAAAAATGTTTGATTCAATGTTTAAAAAAAATCAAACACCCGATTTTAAAGCATGGTGCCTGAGAAATATTGAAAATTGTCTCTATATTTCGAGTTTAATAACCACAATTATGACTGGCTATTTTTACATAAGCTTTGATTAAAACTCTGATTAAGGCTGAAGGGATAGTTACACAAAGTGGTCAGAGTGCTACAATTCTTGTAAGTCTGTGCTATATACCAGTATGATATAAGTGTGCCTTGGAACACCACAGCGCACTTTAATCCCAGTGTTGTGCTAACACTGGTATTGAAGTGCAAGTGTTGTGCTAACACTAGGATTGACGTGCGCTGTGGTGGTCCAAGGCACATAACTCTTGACAGTACAGAAATATCAATTACAGTGATGAGAACATGGCTTAGCTTCAACTCACCAATTATTCTGAAAATACATATAGCACCCCATTTTTACTGTACCAGAACAAATTACTAGCAGGGAGTAGCATATGCTATATTATAAAACAGTGTTAAAATTATGTAGTTTCTATCATAATTTGTCTTGTTCCAGGTGAGATTGGATGTTCATATTGTGGCGGTTTGGGTCATCGTATTGCGGATTGTCCCAAGTTGGAGGCAATGCAGACGAAACAAGCCCAGGGCATCGGTCGGAGAGACTATTTGGCTCACAACAGTGCAGACTGGTAGAGTGGATCATGTCAAGGCAAAACTGCTGATCTACTTCCGAGAACACATCTGTGCAAGCAGTGACTTTGTTTCTAGGATGTTCTTGGATACTAGTTGACAAGCCCCTCAAACTCAGATAAATGGGATAAAAAGCACATTGTTTGCCTAGAATCCAAGCTGTGTAATTATTGGATTGAACCACTGTGATGTTGTCAGCTTGTTTCATGTTGTGCACACTGCTGAAACTGTTCCAGTGATTTTACAGGCTTTTCTAGAGTGGTATACCTAATCTGACAGTGGTAAGATGTCCTTAATCTAAGGCATTCTTATGACCAATGAAAAACTTGCTGGTATATTTTGTTTTATGGGTCTGTTAAGTAACAGAAGCATCTCCCATATTTTAGCATGGACATTTCGTGGAACAGGTCCCTGAACTGATTTGAAAATGGTATAATACACTGTACTGTTTTTCTTCAGCACTGTCAATGTACGAGTTAAACTACGAACTTAACTATCAGATGTTTCTTCATATGACTATTTCATGTTTGTGTAAATATCCATGTCAATAAACCGTGATCATTCTATGGAAATTGTGTCTATTTAGGAAGTTTTATAGAAGTTCACTTTCCATCATCACACAGTCACTCTACAACAAATTCTGTTGACAGTTCATGGAATCAGTGTTTTTTATTTAAATTTTTGAAAAATCTGTTTTTGTTAAAAGTAACTTTGAATTTTAGATGCTCACAAAATAAAACTTCCAAGTAAAACGGCCCCATTCAGTATGAATTGCTCCAAATGAGTTGTACACTGGTATCTGCAATATGCAGAGTTATGTTGATTAATTTTTGCCAAACAGCAAGATTCCAGCTATTGTTTTGTGAAATCGTCTGCTTGACATTGTGGGAGGAAAGATTTGGTCTTCAACAGATTTTTTAATGAAGATAAAAGGTTTCTTACACTTTCCATCTGAGATTCTGTAGAACATGCAATGCAAAAAGCTATAGTTAACCTTTGTTATAGTACGAGTAAACAGTCATTGCAAGATGTGAATGTTTTCCATGCACCAACTTCTTCTAGCCTCACACAACACAAAACCAACAAGTATTTTTTTTCTTTTTATTGCTGTAGCAGATTTTTGACGACACAGACTTGTGTCTACAATGATGAGACTGACTACCTGCATGGCAATGATAACAATGGGATGGATGCACATGTCATACATGACGACATATCCACACGTATAACAACACTCGGTCTGTCTCCACTGTTTATTGAGTCGCTCGCTGCTAGTGCAATACTTGCAGCCTTGTGCTGGTGCAGGTTTAATCTCAACTAACTTCCGGACTGGTTACCATTCTCTTCAAGTCTTCACATTGGTCCTTTGATTCATTTCTTATCACAATAGCTTTGTTCATCTCTATGTACAGTGTAGCAATACTGCTTTATTTTGGAAGGAAATGGACAGACCAGAGGGCAGGCAAAAGGGAAGGGAAACTGAAAATCCAATCTGTATTGTTGATATTTGGGTTTCAATAACCCCGGGGAACTTTCATTAAGTACATTTTTCTGTTTTATTCAACAGGTTTATTTCTACAGTTTTACTAGGAACTGCAATTTGATATTGGTGCACAAAATTATTTCAAATCAAAACCAAAAAAATATATGAAGAAAATAATAATGAATCAACTTGAGAGAACAGTGGTTGCCAAGTCGGTTTTTAGCAACACAAGGTCAACATGACCTGTGTGGCAACTTAATGCTAAGGACATTTCAATTGAATCACTTGATATATGATCAACAAATTATATCAACAAATATTCAGGTACACAGCTTTGTTAAACCTCAGCATTATGCATACAGTTTGCTTTGGAATGCAAAAATTTCATCTGATGTCATGCAACTCAAATATTCCTTGATGTTCACAAATCTTAAAATAAACATGGACAAAATCCATATTTTAATTACTTCAAGCTTGGATAGATACAAGTAAGCTGGACCAAACAGAAGATACACTGGTCAATTTTCATACAGAATTAAAGTGTAAAGAGGAACATAAAGAGATTGTGATTGATGTCAAATCTTTCTGGTCAGGTTAGAATTGTTAATGTGAATCTCAGGTTTCACACAAGACTAGATTTCTTAGTTGTAACAAATTAAGTAGTAGCATATTAATATCATGGCACAAGCACAATTCGGGCTAATAGGATTTTGTACGTGATTAAACCGGGACAACGAGAAAAACTCAACCTTGATAAACAACACTGAAGACATTACTGCAGAGTTACAGTGCAACAGAATGCTACAGCGCAAATCCAAGCTTTCTGATATGCATACAAATGAGAGTACCTGATAGATATTACAATGAAAGTTCATTGCCAACACAAAAGTCATAACATGTTATATGTTCACAAACATACAGGAGTACAAACTCATAATGGAATGATCTGTGAGTTTCTACTGGGACACACTGCAGATTCAGCTAAGACTGAGGTTACACATAGGTATATTTTGATTAATCTTTATTCACATCACCGGCTCAGTGCCATCGTTTGTATAATTCATGGACTAGTTAGAACACTGTTGATTTTAAAGTTATTAATCAAGAAGGGGTCAACTGGCATGAAATCGTTGTACACTTATTGTTGAAGCCTTAAAGTGGAAACACTTCCAGTATCACTAGTCCTGTTATCATTAAAACTCCTGTTCGCAACTTGGTTGCACTATCAGAGAACAGGAATCAATACTGTAATTGTACTGCACACAATAGAGCAAACGTTCATGCACCTTTAATATTTGTCACTAGGGGGAAGATCCTTACCAAAAGCCTTCATGTTTCACAGAGACTGATGCAAGTTCTATCTAAAAAATATCCTTCAAGGTAATTTGATTTTGACTGGATTGCAGTCTACATGTTTTCTGCTGACATCCTTTACAGTAGTTGGGGTTACAACGTAGTAACTCATGGGTTATATGCTTTTCTGCTGACATGTTTTTGCTATGGCCAGCATCTTGCTGAAATAGGCACTAGCATAGTACACACATTATCTCATTTCAAATGACTATCAACACTTGACTAAAGGCCCCTTTGTACCTCTCAATATTCTGCAAGATGGCCCAGTAATGTCTTTTCAGAAAATTAAATTAAACTTAGTTCATTCTTTACTTCGCTTAGAAACAAAGTTACAATACATACTTAATAATATGCTCTGGCCTTAAGGGTTTCATGCGAGTCCTAGTGAAAAGAACCAATATTTCGGCACTGATTGTATGGTACCTAAACAGGCATGTGTGTCCCAGGTCTGTAACTACAGCCAACGTTCTTGACATTTCCTTGAGGGATGGTTTGCCATATCAGTTGCTAACCATCAGGGGGCTTCAGGGAAATGTCCAGACAAGCCATGACATTTCATGTCAATAACAAAACATATTGCACAAGTGTACAAACTGATCTTCAATTACACAACTAAGTACATTACTAATACTGAGGTCTTACACAAAGCAACAGGGTAACAAGGAAGTCCGTGATGAACAAATAGACTGAGCACTACCTAATCCCATACACAAACAGTTCTTTTGTATAGTTTGGCAAAGACTTGAGCAAAAACAATTCAAAGAATCTATCATGAGCACAGAAGAACCTAACCCTCTACAAATGCACCAGCAGTGTAATGTAGAACTGAAGAAAAGATCTGGTTTAAAACTTTAATTTAAAAGAAAGGGAGGAGATACCTAATAGCTTGGTGCTTGAACACTTTTACTTTTTTAAAATTACACTATTGGTTTACTAAAACCATGTATTGCTGGAACAAAAGCAAAAGAATGTGTTTATTTCTTAAACCATCTCTAACGTATATTATGAGGTTTAATTGTGTAACAAAGTAAATTTAGATATAAACTTAGCACCTTCAACTTCTCTAACAGGGAAGCTCATTCTTTTATCACTTATGAAGTTATACCTTAAGATATACAGAAAAACGACATGACACTTTTAAATATGAAACCACTCTTCTGCTCCTCAGTAATTTTTTGTACAAGCAACATAGGAATAAGCACAACATGCAGCCCTAAAAAGGATGAATTTTAAAGAGAGCTCAACTACCATGACACTAACCACTGAAAAACAAATAAAAGATCCATGTTCAACAAGAGGCTTAATTCAAACTAATCAGAACCATTCTAGGCATATTAAACCAAGGCATTATGTCAATCTCTTATTTCCCTGAAAACATGTTTGACTAGTGCTTACATAAGAGTCAAGTAAATTATACCAATATTGTTTCTAAAATAAAAAAGAATACAAAGTTGTCCATCTGCTGCCCTGAAAGCCTCAAGCACATGTACACTTTTGTTAGCCCCACCAATCCATTCTATTACTGTTAGTTCATGTTACAAATTTAATGCTTAAAGCCTGTTATATACCCGTTTCTCATTCATATTATTAATAGATTAAAGTTGTGTATACCAGTTTGTTAGTCTTGATAATGCAAATCATTTTCTGGCTTAAAGGATATGAAATACACATTTCATCACATAAGTTAATGATGCCAGAAACTTCTTGATAGCTACCCTAAATTTTTCTGCTTCAAATTATAAAGTCATTTCATTTCAGAAGTGAATAGAGCAACATTTCATAGCGAACAGAACAATTTTCTAGGCCTGAACTGTCAAGTACTTTACAGCAGCCTTCCTTCTTAAATGATCATGGGAAATGTTATTGGCACATGATAGATAATGCAATGATTATGTGGATGATAAACCTGTATCTAACATAGCACTTCAAAACCAGTGTTAACAGTAGTAGATGAAACATTGCAGCACTATTGTGTTAAGACATTCCATGTAATCAGGTGCTAGTGAAAACCAACTCAAAATTTTAGAAACACCAGCACAGATAAGTCAGTTTATGCCGAGAAGGTAAGAGAACACTCGGGGTGGAACGGTTTCTGAAAACTTATGCTTATGGAGAGTGCTGCTTGAATCAGTCTCACTGCCGAGAAATTATGCTCGAGACTTGGAGAGCATGTGTGAAGATAGGGTCTTTTGGTCAGAAAGGACCACTGAACTTATCCTTGATTCTTTAAAGCCATCCCGACTTCATTTTGTTCCTTGGGATATCACTTAGAAAAACAATATCCTTATTCCTTTCAAGGAATGGAGCATGAATTCATTCTCATATTTACAATCGCTTCCGAGGGAGTCATGTTAACTTCCGGACATCAGTTACGCCTGCACAAAAAACCTGAGACTGAACTGTGTCTTCACAAGTGTTCTGTCTCCAGGCATCGTTTGCACCAATTAGAACAATACATCTAGGTTCATGTCTGTGCTAGTCTTTGCTTTGAAATATATACAAATTGTTGGTAGCTGCGATGGCAATAATGTTCTCCTGAGGATGCCATGCAGTGTGCAAAATCTTTTTGTTGAAGTCCAGACAGTCTACACTAATCTCATCCTTCTTGCGTTTGCCTCCAGTGCAAACCTTGCGGGGTTTCAGGACTGTTTTTGGCTTCATGTTCTCCCGACATGCTTCAAGCGTACTGTCCCTCTTCTGGTCACGATCGAACATACGGAAGAAATTGTTGTATGAACCTGTCATAATGTGCCTGAAAAGAAACAGTCGGTGTTCATTTCTTTCTTAAATACCATCATTTGACAAGCAGTTACAATGGATAAATTTTAATCCAGTAATCATCAGTACATATAGACACGAACATGCTAAAAATATCTTCCACAAAATGAGTACGTGAGTGGGCGAGTGAGTTTAGTTTTATGCTGCACTCAGCAATATTCCAGCTATATGATGAAGGTCTAATAATCGGGTCTGGACCAGACAATCCAGTGATCAACAGCATGAACACAGATCTATGCAATTGGGATACGATGTCTTGTCAACCAACTTGGTGAGCCTGACGCTTCTGTTAGTCGCCTTACGATAAGCATGGGTTACGGAAGACCAATTATAACCCGGATCTTCAAGGGTTAAATTGAGTATGTATATGTAGGAGTGAAATAATTTAATAGACTTGACCAGATGTCACAAAAATTTCTACTTTCAAAACAATGATTACAGTCCATTTGAGTCAGAAACGGACCGATGAATTGCAAATTTTATCATTGTACAAAATTGCCACATAAATATAAATAGTACACGTTTATCATTTACTAATACCCAACAGCTTTCTTATATTTGAAAATTTTCCGGACTCCACCAAAAAAGTTCTTTAAGAAACTTATCAGTAAACTTTTGACACAGTTCACTATTTGTTACGAGGGAGGAGTGCAGAGAAAGGGACAGCCAGGTGTTAGAGAAGCACGTGCACAAGTGCCCACCAAGTTATTGATTCATTAGCCTGTGCTGTGCCGTCTCCATCCTTTCTCGCACACCTGGCTGTCCCTTTCTCTGCACTCCTCCCTCGTAACAAATAGTGAACTGTGTCAAAAGTTTACTGATAGTTTCTTAAAGAACTTTCTTGGTGGAGTCCGGAAAATTTTCAAATATAAGAAAGCTGTTGGGTATTAGTAAATGATAAACATGTGTACTATTTATATTTATGTGGCAATTTTGTACAATGTTAAAATTTGCAATTCATCGGTCCATTTCTGACTCAAACGGACTGTAGAGATGAATTTAAGACTGTTAAACCACATGTTATATTTCATCTAATGGACACATTTGCAGTACTCACCTATCATCTCCACTCCAGGAACACTCAAACTTGTCAAATATACAGTCATTTTCATAGAGAGAACACAACTTGCTCCTCAAATATTCATGGACCTGGTAAGTTTCAACAGGCTTGTTTTCCATGTTCAAGTCCCACACTTTAACTGACAAATAGTCTCTAGTTATCAAGTATCTTCCATTGTGACTAAACTTCACATCAGATATACTTGATATAATTTCCGAAAAGAAACTCCTGTTTGTTGGGTCTTCTGGCTCCTCAAAAACTGAAAGAATATAACAAAAACGGATTGTACAATTTATGTGACAAAGAACGGAAAAAAATGGGGATTGTACATTTTAAGATTATTTAATTACAACCAAAGAAAACCATATCTGCAGGTAACGGGGCTTGTAAGACATGACATTAGAGTCTTCAAGCACGAAGCCTGCATCTTAATATCCCTGTGTTTCTAGTTTTGTCAAGAAAACAAATATCAGGACAAACAAGTGTCTCACAGGCACTACAGAAATCAGTGGAAAAACACATGAAAGCATAAACAGATGCCTGTAATTTGTAAAGCAGATTTTCCACCCTCTTTGAAAGACATTTTTGGTAGCTAATTGACACTTGAGAACATGGATATTTAGAAGTTCGTAAAAGTTTTTGCTGCTATTGATTTAAGATTTGGCTTGAATTTGAATGTTTTATAATAATGTGATCAGTCTACTTCTTGGCAGAAAACCTTTGTCGCATCATCAACTGTAGATAATCACTCATCATCACAAAGACTACACTGATGGGTCATATTGGTCCATTTTATGGAGAAAAAAAAATTATATAAAAAAAATCACCTTTAGTACTGTGGTTGAAAAAAACCCCAAAACCTGAGGAAATGAACCTATCCATAAGACGTGATTGTGCTAGTATATCCTGCTTTTGGCCAAGACGGCACAAACTTGGCTCTAAAGATAATTTTCAGGTGATCTTGGTGCTGGTTACAAGAATCATTAACAGCTCAGCTTACTCCAAAAAATCGGATATAGAAAAATGTTTGAATATCTAGGAATTATATCTGCAGGTAACGGGGCTTGTAAGACATGACATTAGAGTCTTCAAGCACGAAGCCTGCATCTTATTATCCCTGTGTTTCTAGTTTTGTCAAGAAAACAAATATCAGGACAAACAAGTGTCTCACAGGCACTACAGAAATCAGTGGAAAAACACATGAAAGCATAAACAGATGCCTGTAATTTGTAAAGCAGATTTTCCACCCTCTTTGAAAGACATTTTTGGTAGCTAATTGACACTTGAGAACATGGATATTTAGAAGTTTGTAAAAGTTTTTGCTGCTATTGATTTAAGATTTGGCTTGAATTTTAATGTTTTATAATAATGTGATCAGTCTACTTCTTGGCAGAAAATCTTTGTCGCATCATCAACTGTAAATAATCACTTATCATCACAAAGACTACACTGATGGGTCATATTGGTCCATTTTATGGAGAACATTTTTTTATAAAAAAACCAAACACCATTAGTACTGTGGTTGAAAAAACCCCAAAACCTGAGGAAATGAACCTATCCATAAGACGTGATTGTGCTAGTATTTCCTGCTTTTGGCCAAGACGGCACAAACTTGCCTCTAAAGATAATTTTCAGGTGATCTTGGTGCTGGTTACAAGAATCATTAACAACTCAGCTTACTCCAAAAAATCGGATATAGAAAAATGTTTGAATATCTAGGAATTATATCTGCAGGTAACGGGGCTTGTAAGACATGACATTAGAGTCTTCAAGCACGAAGCCTGCATCTTATTATCCCTGTGTTTCTAGTTTTGTCAAGAAAACAAATATCAGGACAAACAAGTGTCTCACAGGTACTTATCACTCCAGCAGTGGCAAAATCCAGAATTGTGTGTTGCAGAATAATGGTTAGAAATTTTATCTATTTCAGACAGAGGTTGCATCTTCTGAAAGTCATTTGTTATTTCACATTTATTGATAGCATACTTACGTTTGGCATGTTTATCACACAAGGCGTTGTCCCTCATGTCACATAACCTAATTGTTCCTTTGCTGCTACTATAGACAAACATGTTACATTCCCGAGGGTGGAACTCAGACGCTGTAATCACCTCAGTCAACTCCTCCATGTTTGCTGGTTTGATGTCAACAATATCTTAATACTGGTTAAAGAAAACAAGCTGAGATCCAATGATGCATCAAAATATGCCTTGCTGATTAATGCTCAGCCATGTTCCAGCTCAGACAGCTGCTTGAAAAGATGCCGTGACAATCCAGTTTTTGTAAAGATGATCCATGCCAAGTCGTGCTTTCAAATGATCCTGAATCCCCCACCACCCTTATCAATGCTTATGGTGTCAATCACTGGTTTGTGTGGTCCAGGTTCAAGCCTGTAAAGACCACCATCACATCTGGAACATTGCAGAGTGCTTTGTTAAACAAACAGTGAGCGAGTTTAGTATTACGCTGCTTTTAGCAATATTCCAGCAATATCACGGCAGGGGACACCAGAAATGGGCTTCACACATTGGACCAATGTGGGGAATCGAACCCAGGTCTTCTGCGTGATGAGAGAACGCTTTAACCACTGGGTTACCCCACCGCCCCAAACAAACAAGATGTCTTGTGAGCAAGGATTTGAGCCTGCAAAGTACCATGACAAGCAATAAACCAGGTCACAACACCAGTGCTCCATATAGGTTTCACTGTGTTACAGCCACCATATGCTTTTTCAGATTTATTCTGTCCCCATTTAAGTGCTCAAGAAGACAGTGATGTGATTGCCATATTAGATGGACAAGATTAGCAAGAAAGTACTGTAGGGATTACAAATGCACATCAGGATAGAATCTCAGTAATGTTTAACACAAACGTACCTTTGAATACCAGTCTGAACATTGAAATAATTAAATATGATTCAGCTGTGAATCAGAAAGGTATGGAGAGAGACCAAATGAATTTATTACTAATTCTAAATATGTTTGCAGTAGTTGGAACTTGGGAGAAAATGACATCTCAAAGCTCAAGACCTACAGTTACTATCCCTGCCAATTCAAATCAGAAGAAGATGCAAACTTCAAAAGATTAAAGCTGTGACAGGTTGAAGCTGGGATTATAGCAGCCTCTACAATGAAAGCACAGATGGGTGGGTAGCTGCTGCAGGTGGAAGCAGGGAAGAGATGCCTTAGAGATGCCTAAGAGGTGACAAAATGTAATAAGTGGCTCGACTTGGTGACTAGACTGGCTGCACGACAGCATATTGTCTGGAAAAGACTTGCCAAGTGTGTTGTTCAATAAGGTATAGAAGTTGAAAATGAAAGACAAATATTTTCTTAGAGAAGGATACTGAAACTTTGGTCTGTAATTTCCAAGTTCCATAAATTGATGCGCAGGTCATCAGCAGAGAGATAGGTGGCCTGGTCACTGTTGACCGATATGGAGTTAATGTGATATGTGTGAGCATTAGCAAAAACTCTCTTGGGACTAGCTTCAACCATGAGCTCCATGGGAGCAAACACTGGCACTCTGAGTGAGGTGATGGAGTTCGGGTCACGGAGGACCCCATTTTCATCTTTCAGGTTGTAGCCTTCTGGTCGCTTGTCACGTTCAGCAACCTTCCACAACTTGATTGTCTTATCTGAAAGAAATCATGACATTTTTTATGATGGATACATACTTGAGTCTGTTTATCATAATTTGAGGTGAGGTGACATTGGGTTTAACATCGTGCATGAGAATATTTCGCTCATATGAAGACGTGCATGTGTGTGTATGTGTATGTGCGGCTGCTTGTACTAGCCCAGACTTAAGCTGGTTTTATAGTGCTAGCTCACTGAGATACCATGCAGCAGTGAAGCATGAATACCCCACTCAGACACATATACTGACTCAGAGCCAACCAGTCCTTGTTGTACCCATTAATGCCGAGCCCCAGACAGGGACCAACAAGAACCATATTTTAACGTCTTTTGGTATGACGCGGTCGGGAATCGAACCCGTGACCTTCCGCTCTCCAGGCGGACTCTCTAACCACGACACCACGGAGGCAGTCATATCATAATTTGAAGAGTGTGAGTCTAGTTTTATTGAACTTTTAGCAATGCTCCAGCAACATCACAGAAGGGGGCACCTGAAATGGGACTTCACAGATTGTACCCATGTAGTGAAAGATTTAACCACAAGGCTCAATTTGGAATTTACCAGCAGAAAAGCAATGTTTGTAATGTTAAGGGGAGTCTCACCCAAGATTAGTTTCTACACAGTACAATGGAAAAGGTAAATCAGGTTCACATTTTACAGGAATGTCAGGTACGTCTGCTGGAGCCTTTATCAACCACAGTTTTGGGAATTGCAAAGACCTGCAAATAAGGACTCCCTGTCAACAGTGCCCAACCTACCATTGGTAGACAGAAGGAAATGATTCCTGTTTGTTCGTTTCAGCCAACGGATTTTGTTGATCTTCTCTTCAATTTCTAAACTTTTGAGGTAATCAAACTCTGGTTCATGAGACTGGAATGTGCTGTACACATTGTATTCCCCACGATTTGGGCCACCTGCTACCTTGCTCTGAAGCAACGTATCATTCTGAAAAGGAACATGACAAATGGTGATAAATCTGCTGCAGTGCACTTACTTATCAATACAAACGTAGTCCCATTTTCAAATGTTAACTATCCTCCTCCAAGACAATTAGAATAGACATTGTAAACTCACAAGAAAATTTAAAAGGGAACTCAAATATTCATCTGTCTTAGTTTGGCTATGCAACCTTGTCTGTGCATTACTTTGTCATGAGATTAACTACAGTAAATGAATGTACTGGGTGTTTAACTCCTGATTATACTTAACATGTTGAGCTTGCACATTATGTATTAAGCAGGGTTTAAAATCAGCTGATTGTTTTTATTCAAATACCCTAGTAGTGGCATAAAAGAATGTCTGATAAAAACGCCATGAAAGGTCATGTTGACATTTACAGAAGCACAAGTACTACAACACATTTTAGATTTCATGATTGTCGACACATTAAAACAAGAAACACTGATATGTTACTGACCAGCCTGTCGCGCTGGAATATGACAACACGTCCACCCTTGTCCCCAGTGGCTAGCAAATCCCCATCACTGTTGAACTCGACACAGGAAATTATGTCGGCTGCAAAAACAGGAACTGTGGATCAACATTTTTATTGATTTCAATGTAGATTTCATGTACTAATTGAAGACTGTGAAAAATATTTTAAAAAGCAGGTGAACATGGGAGCAAAGAATAATCATCATGCCAAGACAAATTAGTATCATAGAGCATAAGTTTTGCCAATGACAACACATTAAAACTGACATCGAACAGCTGGCATAAGGTATCACAAGCTGACACAAATGTAAACATGCACAAATAATTTTACAATCATAAGAATGTGAACTTTCAGATAAATTTAAACTACATTGCACTTTGTTATGTCTTGCAGACCACAGACTTTAAAATTGACAGGGCAACGAGTGAATAAGTTAGCATTGTGTCACCTATACAGTGACAGGATAACTAAAGACTTTGCGAAACAAATGACATGTTCAGTATTTCACACAATGCAAAGAGGGTCACAGATTTTAATAGCAGTGAGTATTTACTCTCTGGATTTTGTTTCCTTTCTGTCTTTGATACATTTTTAGCCACTTGGGTTCAGTCTTGTGGGTATTTTAACCCCAAAAGTGGCACTTTTTAAACATTGTTCAAGTTAGAATGCTGTTTCATGTATTTCTGTTGTAGCCCATGTTTATGTGCCAAAGCATGCTGTGCATAGCCAGATAGATCTATATAGATTTTATGGCGTATCATTCACAGAAAACTTTATGCAGATGTGATTAATGCATTAGAATAGTAACTAAATCCCTGTTAAAAGAATTGAAGTGGTACTGTGATTCTAAATCCCTTTTTGTAAGCAACTAGCACATGACTTAGGAAAGCAGAATTTCTGAGTACTGACAAAAATGCCAAATTGTAAAAGAGGCTTAGAGATAGGATGAAAGCCACTGTCCATAACTACCTTTATGTACCTAATGCCAAGCAATGTTATTTCTTAAAATGAAAGTTTGATGCTAATTCAGCAAAACAAACAAACGGCGAGAACAGTTTAGTATCAAGAGAGCATGCCCAAAATAGAACTAAGTACAATTCAAAGCGATTCCCATTGCAACACCGAGGTACTTCCGTTAACCTTCATTCAGGTCCAACTAGACCTGCATCATGAGCTCGTAATAGTGAGTGATAAACATCAAAGGAAACATGCAAACATACGCAGTTAGAATGTAAATGTAAAACACGAAATTCCATTTGTGACCATCTACTTGGCGAAAGAAACAGACACCTGCAAAATACTCTTGACGGGTAACAAACGTGATATAGGGCTATGTTTCTTGGAACAGTTTAACAAGTTATCTCTCTGCATCCTATACAATAACGATTTTTCTGAAGACCGTACTCTGAATTAGGAGTGAATTGGATCCGATATATAGATCAGGCGGGCTCTATGTCGAATACTTGTGTCAGACGAGTGGGAGTTGGGCAGACAGAATGAATTTACAGCTTATTACATATGCAATATCCAAGTAACGAGGACTCATATACCTTCAGTCACTTCATCTTCTATCGTCCCTTTAACTTGTGAGAAACACCACTGAATCTCCCCGCCATTGCCTGCAAAAACAAAAAAACATTCATTATCATGCTGTTGCGAGTGAATCTTATCTTCATGCCGGAAAGACGCTGTCAAGACTCGACAAGATAAATAATTTTGCACCTACCCGCCATCATGAATCAAAATGGATCTTGCTCTAATTTTTTCAAACGTTTTAGCAATTTGCAGAGGGATTTAAATTCCACAGGAATACTGGTTAATAGAGGATGTCATTGGATTTGACATTTAACGTAGTTTCATAGAAGACATATCAAAATGGCGCACTGTGGCTAAGTGTTGTATGACGTCACTTCCATAATGCACCATGGGAAGCCCGGCATACATATAGTGTTTTCTTAACGACACATCAATGTACGACATAAACCGTCTGTTGAAACATACGATTCCCACTCCTTGTGTTAATACGGACAAAATAAATGCGGCTTCTTCTACGAAACAGCATTTTACAGCTAAACATATTTTGTCAAAGATTTGATGAACAAAATACAAATTGTATGTTTATAATTGCCGGGATTCTTGTTAAACATAAAACGCCATGGTATTTGTAATCTGAACGTTCAGTTTGAAACTAAAGCTACATTGAAAACTTCATTACTTGTTATACGTATGGTTACCGTTCGTTATTTTTGATTGTTTGTTAAAAATAAGTGTTTCCACATGTTTATAACAGTAAACCCCAGTCAGAACAGCTGGAACAGTGTGTTAATATATATATATATATTTTAACATATATATATATATAAACTTCAATTTTATTTTGTATTAATCATTCCAAATATGACGATAGTTAATGTATATATTTCGTACAAACTTCCCTCTTGCAATACCTTCAAAATTAGGTATAAACAGGCAACCTTTATCCGGGAATTAGAAATACTAATATTAATGATTACACTAAAATACTATGTATTTGAATTTTCGCTGATTGGAAAAAGCGTATTTCTGGGTGTATTAGTAGAAAACATACTATCGTTGATAAGCAGGTATGTTTTCCTCTGCCAATGTTTTTAATTTTCAGTTTCTTTGTCCCAAGGCCAAAGTTTTAATACGTCAGAGTTTTTGCGTACACTGAAAAAAGTAGTTGGAAGCCATGGTGAGTGAGTGAGTGAGTGAGTGGGTTGAACACCGCTTTGAACAGTATTCCAGTTAGATCAGGTCGTGTCAGCCGAGTGAGTAAGTGAGTTTAGTTTTACGCCGCTTTTAGCAATATTCCAGCAATATCACGACGGGGGACACCAGATATGGGCTTCACACATTGTACACATGTGGGTAATCGAATATGAGTCTTCGGCGTAACGAGCGAACGCATTAACCACTGGGCTACAACACCGCCCCGCAGGCCTCAAACCTATACCACATTGGTCGAACCCACGAACAGGGGTTTGGTGGCGACAAACCTGGAAACAATCTGGGGCGAATGGGAATTTGAACCAACAACAGCAGGGTCCTGGCGTGGCCAAGGGACGCAAATCTGTAAGGGACTTGCGGCGCCTTCGACGTCTGTCGCGTGTGTGTGTCGCTCAAAGTGAAATAAGGTTTTCTGTGAAAACGAATAACCCAACAGGGATAGTGTCCATTTAACTCGTCCTTTAGAAATGATATTAGCCATTTCAATTTCTAACGATTGAGTGAATTAATAATGTTTTCCAATTATATCTTTAAAAATCACCTGCAACAATGAAGTAGTTATCTTGATGTTTACTTTGGTTAACTTTGCAAAGTTAATAGGTGCAGGTGCATAGAAAGCTAGAAGCGGTTGAATTAACGTTGTTCAACGCCGTAATACTGCACAGCCTCATCCAGCTGGTCTGTAAATATCTAAGCCTTACCACTGTGCCCTTTAAAATGACAAAAATAAGTGACGATGGACTAAGAAAGATTCCATCGTTGGTTATTTCTTGTCATTTTATCTCGATACCACCCCCAACACCCCCCTTTCAAACCCTTGCGTCAGTAGGCCATGCATTACATGTCGCATTCAAAGCCAGTTGTTAGGTTAACACTATTTACATCTTTTTCCCATATCGTCGGACGAAGCAGTTCCAAATAAAACTGAAATGGGAAGTACAGTAAATTTTATTTGTGTTTACATTTACTTGCCACGTGAACAGGTACATTGTCAATGGGAAAATGAAGGGCTTTTTCAGGGAAACCACAAGAGAAAAACAAACAGCTACTTTTGACACTTAACCACAATATTCAAAACTTGAAAGTATAACTGTACACACGATAACCTTTTTTTGCTGACGTACAAATTTATAGACGCACGCACCCGTATTTTTATGGTTCGTAACAAAAGTTGGGTAGTGTATAAACACACGACAAACCATTTCACGTCTATAATTTGGTATATCGCCCATTAAAAGTATTATTTCCATTTCCTGTCACGAACACACTACAATCGTGAAACATTGGGAATGTTCGGAACAGTTCAGTGGAACCTCGGTTATTCAGTGTTATCATCACTGTCAACACACAGCCCCGGATCTTCGTAACACTTCCTTTGAGCTTCTGATTAATAAACGACTAATCATCTCTTGCATACGTAAATACAAATAAACAGGTAAAGGCTTAAGGTAAAACCCACGATATATAGGCCTACTCATTACAACAATATCTAATCACCGAACACTTACGATCGAGCCATCGAACAAAGGCAGTAGGTGTGGTGTTTATCTATATCTGTGGGTGCTTCGCGTGATAACTTTTTGAATTTGTGGAATTGAAACAGAACTTCCCTGTAGATTGCCGACTGATTCAGTACTGTTTTACGCCGTTTCGTCATTCTACAACGCGGGCGTCAGATGAGGTCTTCAACATTGTACCCATTTTGGGAACCGAACCCAGACCTTCCAGCCTGTAGGGCGAACGCTTTAACCACTTGGCCACCCCTCCGCGGGTAACAATTAGTGAGTGAGTTTAGTTTTACGCCGCTTTTAGCAATAGCCCAGCAATATCACGGCGAGAGACACCAGAAATGGGCTGCACACATTGTACCCAAGTGGGGAATCGAACCCAGACCCTTCCAGCCTGACGAGTGAACGCTTTAACCACAAGGCTACCGCGGGTAACGATTATGAGTGGGTGATGGTGGTAATTGGTCTCGTACGTTTATGAGTGAGTGTTTAACACTACAGTCAGTAGTTTTACAGCTATAATTTCGCCGGCCATGTCAGGGCATGAGCAACGATCGCCGCGATCAATGCACGAGACCGACCAACCGATCCCCATTTTTGACAGCTTTAACAGCAAACATTAGGCACTTGAAACCTACCATAATCTAAGAAAAAACCCGGCCCGTATCAGAGCCCGGTTCATATACCGTATTGCTTCTGTTATAGACCCGTGAAGGTCCGGGTTAGAATTGATCTTCAGTAACCCATGCTTGTCGTAGGAGGCGACTAACGGGATTGGGTGGTCAGGCTCGCTGGCTTGGTTGACACATGTCATCGGTTCCTAATTTCGCAGATCGATGCTCATGCTGGTGATCACTGGATTGTCTGGTCCAGACTCGATTATTTACAGACCGCCGCCATATAGTTGGAATATTGCTGAGTGCGGCGTAAACTTAAACTCACTCTCTCCTCTGTTATACGTCGTGAACCCAATACCAGTCGGCCTCCATTTGAAACCGGGTCTGAAGTTCTGCCCAAACAAATGGAGACAGGGGTCTCTATAAGACGCGAGGTGTCAAGATGAGTTTCCTTCTTATACTGTGATAATGTTGGTGATTAAGAAATAACCGTTTCTAGTAAAAATGTACACTTTTCGTGACTACAGGATTTGGGATTTTGATAGGATATTTGCCACTGTACCAGCACAAACAGAATAGACGCCGACACAACAGATTGCGCGAATGTCTTTCATGTTTGGGCGTCTATTAGAGGAAATACCGTATTAGATGCCCGGCCGTTATTCCTTCCGTGCCTTGTCAAGAATGCCCGGTCTGGTATAGTTAAGTTTTAGTGTAAGGGGAAGAAACCTCTGACAGTGTTATTTACTGCGGCACTCACCAATAATCCAATTGTTCTTCAAATAATCAGATTAGACCATCCAGTGACCGACATTGTGAGCCTCGATTCACGGATTGGAATACCAGTTTATTGGGTACCAAGTTACCATAGCTGACAACTGATTTTTGTAATTGACTAGGTTGGTGGGGACCGCTTCTAACCCGAAATCTGCAAGATTTGTCAGACTGACCGGACTTCAGCACCTTGTTCTGAGACCCGTCACCTGATAATGGTTTAAGTGAGTTCTATTTGAGGCATGTTTCTTTGCAGTTTACCAGTGTGTGAAATAAGCCAAAAATCCAGTCAGACATAAGGGCTGGTAACTTCAAAATGTCACCAGCCCAAAATGGATTTAACCAGACCAAATATGGTGTATTTACTCAGATGTATGGAACATCTAAAATTGTTACCAGACCATCGGGCTGGCTAGCTGTAAATTTAGACCGTCCGTCAGAAATCTAAACCGTCTCGGGCGGTCGGATGGGCCTTATTTCATACACTGTTTAGTGCCGCAAAATTCCAGCGATATGGCCACCTCCTGTAAATAATCGCGTCTGGGCCAGACAATCCAGTGATCAACATCATGAATTTCGATCTACGCAAATGGGACACGTAGACGTGTCAAGTAAGTCAGCGAGCCTCAACACCCGATCCCGTTAGTCGCCTCTTACGACAAGCATGAGTTGCAGAAGATCAATTCTAACCCGGATCCGCTCGGGCTGTGAACGTGTCATAACCGACCGCTTTAACCACTGGGCTATCCCACCGACCTCGCTATATGACTTAGTTTAGTTTTACGCCGCTTTTAGCAATATTCCAGCAATATCACGGCGGGGGACACCAGAAATGGGCTTCAAACATTGTGCCCATGTGGGGAATCGAACCCGGGTCTTCGGCGTGACGAGCCAACGCTTTAACCATTAGGCTACCCCACCGCCCCCTCGCTATATGAAAGTGGGGTATATTTGAATTTAAGATGCTATATA